GGGGGGGGTAATTTTTACCATTGAACTCCTGGGAGTTGGTTCCCAAAATTCTTGAAAAGGGAGATAATTCTCTAAAAACAGCGTTCATAATTTTTGTTTAAAGGAAGTTGTTTGGGGACTAGTGCTACCCACTGGGGGATTGTGCACTCCCTTAGCACTGCTTATTCAGGGACTGCAAAGAAGCACACACCACAGACATAGCAGTCTGTCAAAATGGTTTTTTGAGAAATACTTAGTTTCAAAGAGATCTTTGCACTAGATCTAGATCTATTCTAGAATGTGAAGAATAAAACCCCGGGGGTACAAAATGACCCCAGGACGTACGGATAGGGTTAAAGGCTGTGATAATCAACAGAGTTGACAAGAAAGGGAAGACTAATCTAAACAAATTTTATTGATGTGGGAGGGATGCAATAATGTAGATTTTTAGAAAATTTCTGTAATTCCCCTTTGCATTACTATTGTGGAAACTTGCCTACCACAGGATTTTTCTTCTGGAACCAAAAGTCCTGCTATAGGAATGTTCTACTTTATGAGGAATCTGTTTCTGGTGAATGCCTTGCATGGAAATGTCCATAAAACTTGGGGGTAAAAATATAGTCCAAATGTAAGCAGTGTGTTTTCATTTAACCTACTGGGTTGTTGTTGGTTTTTTTAATGTCATGCAGGCCAATGTGCATTATTCAGGTCAATATATTCAATAGATGGATGTTCCTTCATTACATTTATGATGTTTTTCTCATTTAACCAATCGAGGTTTTGAGGGACATTTTACCTAAACTACCCATTTGTGAGGCAGCTTGGTGAAATCAAGCGCTCGTCAAAATAATATATAAAAGAAAACCGCAATTTTCTGGCCGTTCGGCAGTTGCACAACACCACTTATGTCCATTTAAAAACACATTTCTGTGAGAATTTTACTGAAAAACGTTGATCAAAGGCACAAAAACTGCAAATTTCCAGTTTCCAAGGCCACTCGAGCTATGGAAGTAACCAAACTTTGGCGGCCATTTTCTGGTTAATTTTACCTCTGAAACCAGGCAATCCCCACCTCTTTCAATCTCAAATATATTGACTCCAATTCAAAATAGCTGGCTATTTTTTGCATTGAAAGTAAGACAAAAGTACATGCTTTAAGATAACATCTGGCCCGAGTTGTCAAATTGTTGAGCAATGTTTTCGGTCTTTTCCCCAGTGCCCATGGCCATTGAGGAGCAAGTGTGTGTCATCTACTCTGGTGTCCGTGGCTACCTTGACAAGTTGGACCCAGCCAAAATCACACAGTTTGAGGCTGAGTTCTTGCAGCACCTGCGCAGCTCCCAGCAAGACCTCCTCAAGACCATTGCCTCTGAGGGCAAGATCAATGAGCAGGCAGATGAGAAACTGAAACAGATTGTCACCAACTTCTTGGTTGGGTTCCAGGGCTCATAAACTTAGTACTTTATAAATATTTGTGTTGATAGAGAAGTCTGACCAAAAGCGGATATGAGGGAAGAAATGTTCATGCATAGGTCTTGTGATAAAGTACGGCATAAAGACTTTTTTTTCACTCCCCTGGTTTGAAAGAAATCAGCCTGGTATGAATAGAAGGGAAAGTAGGTAGTTTGAATTTTCCTAGTTTTGTGACATGTTGATGTGAATTTTCACACTTGTTTTCCCGTGAAGAAAAAAAATTCTATCGGTTGCATAAACAGAATGTATTATGCCAACTGTGTAGATTGGGTGTCAGTTGTGTGAATGCCGGATATGAAAATTGATTAAATATTTCTTTTGTGTAACAGAAGCGTTTTTCTCTTTCTCTTATGCTGTATGAATTTACTTTTAAGTGTTTACCTGGTGTGTTGATCCTAAAGAGAAGAATGTGGGCATGATGATGATCATTAAAATCGTGTCTGGGAACTAGACCAAAGTTAACAAACCCCTGAGAAGGCCTACAATTAACTTGAAAATGGCCGAGCCATCCAGCTGCTTCTGACAAAGGACTGGAAGTAGTGGAAGGTCCCTGACCACGTTTGTGGCCAAAGCGACACATTTTTTAATGAGTATTTT